CAATGGCTCCCTCTACCTGCCTCCAGGTGACTAGGAGCTGCCGCACCTGACAGGTGCCAAGTCACAAGCAGCACAAGGCACAGGTCTGACTCCCAGCCAAATGCTGGGACTGCTGCTGGCTAGGTTTTTGTGTGTTTTGTTTTTTAAAAAGGGTTACCAATGGGTGTCAGTGTCATAACTACCACCCAGCAGGCGTGGGCTCACCTGGGAGGGCCCTGGGGAATGGCTGACCACCTCCGTCGGCGCCTGGTTTCTCCTGACACTGTCCTGCTGCTGGTGGAGGAGGGTGAGGCCCGCCACGAGGTCACTGGGCACCAGGTCTGTGTCCTGGTCGGGAGCCACAGGGCCTGTCAGAAAGCTCAGCAGGATGGCCTGTGAGTTCCTCACACCCAGTTCCCACGGTCCCCACGCACACAAACACACACAGCACAGTCACATGTAAAAAGGTGCTTTAAAAAGTGTTTCCTCCCGGGACTCCTCCTATATGTGAGCTCAGTGCTTTATTCTCCTGCCCTCGGACAACTCTGCTGGAGAACATAAGTAGTGTGTGGTTCTCTCTCCGTTTTAAAATGTCTCTTCAAGTGACTTTGCTATTTTTAATCTACTTCCCATCATTGATGAAGGGGGAGTAAGTGGGTAGATCTGCCACTTTTGCAGTGACGGTCAATGTTAGCCCAGGGTTAAACTCTCAAAGCTGAAGATGCTGCTTTTGTGGCAGGTCCGTGGGAGGGGTGTATGCGAATGGACTGACACCTCCCAGGTACAGCAGCCTCAGGAAGAGCCGTCCACTGGGGAAGCAGCAGAGTGGTCTAAGCCCGCCCTTCCCCGAGGGCCGGGAGCAGGAGGGACCCACCAGGCGCTGGCCCCTCAGCTCTCAGCTCTGCCCGTGATGCAGGCACCGCCTCCTCTAAGAAGACCTGATCCTCTCCTTCCTCCCTCCACCTGTCTCAGACGAGGCTGGAGCACTCCTCTCAGATGACTTAGGGGACACACTTCTGATCCCCACACAGAGGCTGGACAGGGCCGTCAGCCCACACGGAGAGCCGAGAAAAGGCCCCAGGCGTGCGATGTCAAGAGAACTCTCCCTGACGTGGTCTCAGGAGTGAACATAAGAGCAGCTTATCGGATCTTTTTATGAAAAGACACTCATTAAGTGTGAAAGCAAAACGAACATATCCAAGACACTGAGAAACCAGTCCCGGGTGGTGACACCCTTCCTTTGGAAGCAGAAAAACCGATGTTTGTACCACGCTGTACAGAGCGAGAAGCCAGTGTCCCCTGGTGTCTGCTCAGACCAGCTGGCTGAGGGGGTAAAAAGCAATTGGCAAGTCACTCGCAACAAGTGAAGGCCCTTAAAAACGTATTCAGTTCATTAAAAACTAATTCAAAATCTTGACAGAGTCACGAACAGGTGTCAACACCAGGAGCGCTGACCAGAGGCAGGTCTGCACACGCAGGGCCCCCGGCTGGCGCCGAGTCCTCTGTCCTCGCTCCAGGGAGCAGTGCCCCCCGCCCCCATCGCCTCCAGTGCCCATTTGTGTGTGCGCGGGGGTGGGGGGCCCAAGTGCAGAGCACTCGTCTTAACGTCAGGAGCACCGGCTCCCCAGGGGCCGGGCCGAGCCTGCGGCTTACGGAGAAGTAGGTGGAGAAGAGCTCCGCGGTGCTGGAGAAGGCCATGTGGGCCTGGTCGTCCCGCTCCACGCAGCAGCACAGCAGCTTCATCCTCTTTTCCCACACGCTCGTCGCCGCTGTCTTGAGGCCCCCGACGAACTGGCTGGCCTCGGGGTTAAACGCGAGGGAGGGGCCCGCAGAGGAGTATCGCGCCACCTTCCCCCCCAGCGGGTCGAAGACAACCATGATGATGACCACCGTGAAGCCGATGATAACCCAGCTGCAAAACAGAGAGGACCAGGCAATGAGGGCCCCCAGCAGCTCGGCCAGAACCTGCTGAGGAAGTTCCTGACGAGGCCCAGGAAGATCAGAGCCGACAGTGAAGACCACAAAGGAAAAAGGGGCTGCTGTGGGCAGAGGTGCAGCCCCGACCAGGACCCGCCCTTACTCCTCAGGGCCTCAGGGTTCCTCTCGGTAAAACCAAAAGAATTCTGCCAAAGCGCCGCACTGACAGGCCTTTTGTTCGGTGTTTAAATGGTTGCAGGCTGTCCCCACGCACAAGGCTCGGTTCCCAACGCGCTCTACCGGAGATGGCCCTGAGGGGCTCTGCTGCCCCCGGTGGCGAGGCCAGGAAAGGCACCGTCAGCACGGCTGTCCACTCCTTATTTATAACACAAGGGATAAAGCAAGACCCTTCACAACATTTTAGCCTGGGAAATGCAGCAGTCTTATTCGAGTGCATTACACTCTGGGTAATGTGTTTCTTCTCATCCTGCCTTTAGTGCCTGCCCCGTTTCGGCCTTCAGACTCTTCCTTCTTGTATGAGAAGGGAGGGTATAGAAAAATGAGAACCGGTAAGAAAGAAAACTCCATCAATAGACGCATAAGCCCGGCTGGTGTGGCTCAGGGGTTGAGCGTCGACTTATAAACCAGGAGGTCATGGTTCGATTCCCGATCAGGGCACATGCCCGGGTTGCCGGCACATACCCAGGGTGGGGCATGCAGGAGGCAGCCAATCACTGATGCTTCTCTCTCCCTCCCTTCATCTCTGAAATCAATAAAAATCGATTTTAAAACTGCATAATGGAAGATGAACTGTTTCTCGTGTATAAACAGGTGCCTCTGAATGTTTACCATTTCCTCAACACGGTCGTTTCTAGCCGTTTGGGAGCCGGAGTGACGCCAGGCTGTCTGCAGTCACTCAGGAAAGTCTGCTGACCTACGTCTCACATGCACTGTGACAAGAAGCTGGAGATGACAGGAGCGCTCACCTGACGACGACGGTCGCGATGATGGCGCTCACCACTACCTTGTCGCACTGGGTGCCCTCTGCTACCCACATGGCCCCCAGGGAGGCCCAGACGATCTCGGGCAGAAAGAGCGCCAGGCGGATGTACAGCAGCGTAGACATGGACTTCCGTGGCCCAGGGTTGCAAATGGTTCCTAAGACAGAAGACACTCAAGCTGGTCACCTGCTCCCTCGGAGATGCAGGGCTTCCTTTCTACAGCAGCACAGGCGGCAGAGCATCCACACTGCGCGCGCACCCCCACCTGCTGTTTCTATTCGTAACTGATCAATGCCTGAGATTGAGAGCACGTGACAACGTAAGGGGGGGACGTGACAGGCAGAGGCAGCCTCAGGTTCGCTTCTGAGACTCACCAGAGTTTAAGAACGCTTCGGGGTCCTAACCAGGGTCCAAATTGGGATACTTCTGAGAGCAGAAGGTGCTGTTGATACTTATGCTGGGACGAGTGTAAACAGAACGATTCCAGGCAAACACAGCTAAGCAGTCCCCGCGTTCTGACAGACAAGAAACAGCTGCACCTGTACCACCTCTCGGAGCCTCCGTGGCCACAGGCACCATCGGCGCTTTATTCTTTATCAAGATGACTGAGAAGCCACCAACCCAGCTACAGATGACAAACCTGAGGCTCTGAGCTTGACGCTACTTTCTAAAATATAACCCGTGACTATGACCCTGGCTCTCTGCCCCCCTTCTGGGAAGAAGGAATTCCGATGTTAGAGACCACGCAGAGAAGCCTGGCATTTGGACACATTTTTACGGAGTTTGTGAAACACATCCAAGCATCAATAGAGGCCTGCGTGCATCATCAATCCTCTCCCTTTGAGAAAATGTTACAATAAACACTAATTTAAGTGCCATCAAAATACCATATGATTAAAACAAATACAATAAATCTAAATTCTAAAGAATGATTTGGTAAGGAAATCACTTTTAAAATCCAAAAATTATCTTCCATTAGAATGATTTATGTAGAGTCACATTTTATTTTATTTTAAATATGTTTTTATTGATTTCCGAGAGGAAGAAAGATGGAGAGAGGAAAAGAAACACCAATGATGACAGAGAATCACTGATCGGCTGCCTCCTGCACGCCCCTACTGGGGATCAAGCCCGCAACCCGGGCATGTGCCCTGACCAGGAACCATGACCTCTTGGTTCATCGGTCGATGCTCAACCACTGAGCCACACCAGCCGGGCTAAAGTCACCTTTAATATATTAGGCTCCATCGGGTCTCATTTTGGGCACAAAGACCAATCTTACAAGGGAACTGGATCGGCATCTCTCCGAGGGGCGGTGGATGCAGCATGAAAAAATCAGTTCTGTATTTGGAGCCTGATACTGTAGAACAACAGCCGATCGCCGAGGAGAAAACAGGAAGTTAGTATCTGCACACACCCACGGCTTCCAGGGAACTGGGGTCCCAAATAAGGGAGTAGTGCCTGACACCCAGCAGCCCCAGATCTGCAAGGCAACCTGTGGCTGCTGCGCGAATAAAACAAATCCATGAACAAGGAACCAGTAAATGGAGTTCTGGTTAAGGTTCCAGAAAAGCAATGAGACACTGAGAAAGTCCCCTGTAGTCATGCCTGCCCAGAAAAACATCTTTATCTTACTGAGATGTTTATTTTCTTCTCAAGAAAAAGCATAGCTGGTGTGGCCCTGGCTGCTGCAGAGGCCGCGTGAGGCAATGCCTCGAGAGGCAACGCGTCATGGTTAACAAGAAAGCTACGCCCCTGAATGTTATGTCCCCAGCAGTCTTGGTGAAGTGACCCTATCACCCTTCACAGGCACAAATCTTTGGATTCAACACGGCTACCCCCTGTAGCAGTCTTCTCTGGCACGAGGTAAGCAATGAGCTTTGGAGATGCAAACGCAGAGATGCTCAATGTCCGAGAATCAAAGTCAGACACAGTGAATGGCAGAACTCTTCCATTGAGGGTGTCCTATCAAAAACGTGGTAGTCAAGCCCGGCCGGTGTGGCTCAGTGGTTGAGCATCAACCCATGAACCAGGAGGTCACGGTTCGATTCCTGGTCAGGGCACAGGCCTGGGTTGTGGGCTCCATCCGCAGTGGGGGGCGTGCAGGAGGCAGCTGATCAATGATTCTCTCTCATCATTGATGTTTCTATCTCTCTCTCCCTCTCCCTTCCTTTCTGAAATCAATAAAAATACATTAAAAATATATATACCTAAACTTTACAATTTGTAAAACACCTGCTTTTGTGGAGGTAATGCAGGTAAAGGTACAAAGTGCAAACAGTTCAAATAGGTATAAAGTACCTGCCTCCACCGATGGTCCGAAGTCAGTGAACTTCCTGAAAGTGAACCAGGGACTTGCGTAGCCTCCCAGAACCCGCAGGTGAACAAGACATGAGTGTATCCATCCGCGTTAGGAAACAGCAGCAAACACATTGTATGCGGGAAACGTGTTTATACGTTTTACGTATTTATACATTCTACCAGTGTAGTAGAGCGCGGACACGTATTAATACGTTTTTTATAGACTAGCGGTAGAATGCGGGTAACGTATAAATACGTGAACTAAAGTTATGTAATTTTACTGAACGTTGCTATTTGCGCAAAAAATTAGCAAAAATGGCCTGCGCCACCTGCTAGCGCGCGATAAAAACTACCCACAAACAATGTGTTAACACAACGTCCTGTCCCTTAGCCGAGTGGAGACTTCCCTTATGTCCGAGCCGTTCTCAGCCTTCCCATCAGGTGCACAGCAGACACACAGACACGGACTACCCTTTACCTGCCCGGGGCCCCGCCAGGCAGAGCGTGTTCCGACCTTTCGTCCCTGTGAACGACCTGCAGTGACCATCCCCACAGGCACCTGCGCCTTTACGTACAGGAAGGCACAGACACACACAGCCAGACTGGGTTTCCAAGAGGTTCAGCCAAACGACATCCCACCAGCACAATGAGCTGCAGGCCTCGCCCACGCCAGGTTTTATCCACGCGAACTTTTCTTCTGTGATGGAGGCTGAACGATGTAAGAGTTACTTATGTTTACTTAACTGTTCATGATCTTTGCCCATGTTCCTACCAACTACTGGTCTTTTCCTTGTCACAAAAGCGCTTATAATGAAAGAATCTGTCCTTTTTTGTTGTTGTTTGTTTGTTTGTTTTTGTTTTTATTGATTTTTTACAGAGAGGAAGAGAGAGGAATAGAGAGTTAGAAACATCGATCAGCTGCCTCCTGCACCAAGGTACATGCCCTTGACCGGAATTGAACCTGGGACCCTTCAGTCCACAGGCCGAAGCTCTATCCACTGAGCCAAACCAGTCAGGGCTCATTTGTCCTTTTTTTAAAAATTTCTGTGTGGTATGTTTCACTAAAGTTACATATTTATACTACGGCATATGATGGTAATAATCTGGAACAAATTGGCAACTGAACTAGCATGTTTTTATAAAATACACACTGTTTTCAGCTCAGCTGTGATGTTTCTCAACACAAGTACCAGAAAATCCAACTCAAGGAGGCTACAAACCAGGAAGTTTGTACTGCGGACGGGCATCGTGCGCCCTGCCCTCCCGACCACGCTGCCTCCCCACTGCGCTGTCCTTCCTGGGTGCTGGCTCATCCCTGGCCTGACCGCAGAAGGAATGCAGTAGCTCATCCATGCACAGCATCATCCAGTAGGGGTGACAGTCCTAGGGGACAAGGAAGGGCTTCTCCAGAAATTCCCAGTAAATTCCCCAAATGTCATGACCCCAATCAGGTCACATGTCAATTCCTGAAGCAATCACTGACACATGGACATCGTTCCTGAGCCGGGCAGAGGGCCAGGCTCTGTGACACGCCCACTGGATGTGCAGGGGCGGGGGGATGTCCTGAATGAAACTGGGTTTTGTCTGGAGGAGGCTGCTGGGTAGGCGACCCTCCCATGATGTGACGGTGCCGTTGTGCCAGTGCCTAGGAGGGGCCGGGGGAGATGAGGCCATTCATCACCGGGGTGTGAATGGGCCCTGACTCCCCAAGAACTACCCGAAGGAAAACATTTCTGGGGAAAAAACTTATATTTATTGCTTTAAATCTGAACTCATGATTACAGCTGTAAACATGGTGTATTAATCAGAGTGTGACCTGAACAGAAAGGGCAAAGCGGTTAGGTAATGGTATCTGAAATGAGAACAATCTCAATACTTCATCGCCCAGAAATGCTGGCTCACTGACTTCATGGTGCCGCTCGAGCCAGTGCACACACTCACTCAGCTCCTCCTCTCCAGCTCAGCACCACGGACAGCCAGGCGCGGACTGACAGCCAGGCGCGGACTGACAGCCAGGCGCGGACTGCTGGCCATAGGACCAGCCTGCTTTGAGGCACCGCACGCTTCCGTCCTCTGAGCCCTATTTTCTGCCGCCTGCCCCCGGCAGCGGGCACATGCCATGCTTCCTGGTCACCCAAACCCCAAGACTTTCCCCGTGAAACACGCTGCCACTAACACTTCTCTCCGTGTCCTCATCGTGAACTACCATTTTGTAAGTTTCAATCTATCATTCCAAAATGCCAGTATCTCGCCACTGTGTTAGCTACGCCTCCCGGTTTCACCATCTGCAAGCTGCAAGCATCCTGATGCAAGCAGAGATAAAACCTGGGCGACGAGCAGTTTACTGACGCCCCAGAGCACTCGGCTCCTCCTGTGCCCGGAGCAATGGACAGGGGAGGTTTCCACCACCTCAGCCGAGTGTCTGTCTGCCGCGAACGGTGACAGGGAGGGGGAAGCTATCATTAAGAATAGATGTGACTCATTAATGAGAGGACAAATACCCCAATTTAAAATTGGACAAAGCATCTAAATAGCGTTTCTCCAAAAATGATAGCAGATGGTCAATAAGCATCTGAAGACATGCTCACTATCGTTCCTCATCAGGGATGCACATCAAAACCAGTGAGGTACTATTTCACACCCACCAGGATGGCGATGACCAGGAGGCACATAGCTCTGGCTGGTGTGGCTCAGTTTGTTGGCGCGTCACCCCATGGACCAACAGGTCACTGGTTCCATTCCCAGGCAGGACACTTGCCCAGGTTTGGGGCTCCATACCTGGGGGGGGGAGGGGGGTCCCAGTAGAGGTACATGAGGGAGGTAACCTATGGACGTTTTCCTCTCTCATTGATGTTTCTCTTTCTCTCTCTCAAAATCAATAAAAACTTTTTTTAAAAAAATAAGTCATATAAGAACAAGTGTTGAAAATTGGAACCTTACAAACTGCTGGTGGGAAAGAAAAGTGGTGCAGGTGCTGGGAAAACAGCCCGGCAGTTCTCAGCAGCAATCCCACCCTCGGCACATGCCCAGGAGAACTCCCAGTCAACTCCCTGAACGGCATGGCCCAACGTCTACACAAAAACATGTTTGTGAGTGTTCACCGCAGCATTATCTGCAACAGCCAAAAAATGGGAACCAGCCAATGTTGCTGCCTGAGGAATGGATCAGTAAAATGAGGTATATCCATACCAGGTAATAGTACTCAGCCACGAAAAGGAATGAAGTACTGACACCCGCTACAGCCGGGTGTGTGCCCTGATGGGAACTGAACCTGCGCCTTCCCGTGTACAGGACCGCGCCCCCCGGCCACACAGGCGGCTTTCTTACCTCTCATGCTGACGCACACGATGGCCAGCATGGTACACACGATCACCGCCAGGAGGACCAGGAGCACGACCATGTAATTGCCGAGCAGCACCCCCCGAGCACAGTCCAGCTTCCCTCGGTACCGGAGATACAAGGCCAGGATGCCAAGCCACCTGTCGAGGAACAAGGAGGGTCAGAGGTCCATCCAAGGAGCTGCTTTGCCGAACACGATAGAAAGAAATAAAGGAGTGGGTCGTTCCCGTAAACGGGGTGAGGTTCGCCCTGAAACACAACGTTCACCAATAAACGATCTACAAAGTCAACCAAGCCTATGACTTTTTAAAATGAGTTTTATACTTCCCCTGCTTACACGACTTCTTTTTCTGTGCCGGCTGTAAGGCATGACAGGCTTTTACAGCCGTAAGCAAGCAAATATCACGGCTCAGAAACACACAACTGGTAAACCAACACACTGCGTGCGTGCGAAATTATTAACAAGAGAAATGTTACTTCTGTGGATCAACAGGAAACGGATACGCACACACTGTAAGCTCCTGTGTCTAATACAAAAGGCTAAGCGGGAAGACAGCAAACCTGCAGAGGCGCTGGTGGTGAACACTGATGAACGTGAAAGGAGAACACTGTGGACTCACCAATGTTCTGCCATTCAGGGCACCACAACGCAAGGTGGCACTGAGCGACTGCCACTGGGGCTATCGCGGCAGAGGGCACCGCCCGCCGGGCAAGAACACGGTGTTAGGATTCAAGCCCAAGGATTCCAGTCCCAGTGGAAACGGACGGGTCACTTCCTATGCTTGTCAGTTCTGTGATAGGATGACCCCGTGTCTAGAGAAAGTGGGAACTGAACTCCGAAAGGCTTAGCTTTGAAAACTATAAAACTACGCAGTAGCAGGTCCCAACGTTTTGTGTTTTTCTTTCTTTCCCCTCGAGAATCTACGTTTTTAAAAAAATAACAACGGTATTATTATTCCTTGCTCAGACCCTCTGAGAACAGCCCTCAGGGCTCCGATCCACTTCCTCCCGATCCCACGCAGGAAAGACAAGGGAGGCTCCGCCAAGCCTGTCTGCAGGCGGCGGAACGCGGCCACGGGGCTCAGGGAGGCGCTGAGCCGTGCAATTGCGCATCTCACGGGGCAGGTGCGCCTCGAGGTGCTGGGCGTGCCCGCGCGGCGTGCGGGGAGGATGCAGGGTGCAGGCGGCCCCCTCGGATCGAGGAAGCAGATCCCCAGGCCATGGCTTTCGGGAGGCGAGGGCGTCCCGGCGGCTCTCGGCCAGGGCTCGCGCCGCAGGGGCCGGGGGGCTGGGGGGCTGCAGGTGCCCCGCAGCGCCAGTACCCACCTGGCGCCCCGGCACGCCTACCTCCTCCGCCCGCAGTTTGGCGGCTGTAAAATGGGGGGAATAACAGCACCTCCCTCCGCGGGCGGTGGGGAGGACTAGACCAGGGAACGCACGGCACACCCTGGGCACCGGGGACCTGCCGACACGGACACGGCCTCTCCTCCCGGACGGCGCGCCAGCCCCGACCCCCGCCCGCCCTCTGCCTCCGCGGCGGAGCCCGGCGCCCTCACCACAGCACCCGCAGGAACAGCTCGAACAGCCCCGGGAAGAACAAGTCGTCGCTGGCGATGGCCCAGCGCCGGCCGAAGAGCACCATGCCGGCCATGGCGAAGGTCGCGCCGCCCGGCCCCGGACAGCCCGCCGCGCCGGTCACCACTCTGTGCCCCACGCCCTCCCGGCTTCACAACTAAACTGACCACGACTCGGCGCAGGCGCACGGGAGCCAGGCCGGGCGCATGCGCACGGGGAGGCCGAGCCGGGCGCGCGCGGCGGGGAACCTCTGCGCCTGCGCAGTGCGCTGATCCGGAAGATGCCGGCCGACTCCAGGGCAGGTGTGCTGGCGGGTGAAGTCCGTCCTGCTCATACTTTCTAGGTAAGGACTCCGCCGGCCCGGAGGGATCGGCTCGGAGACCCTGGGCGGTTAATGCGGATCTAGGCTCATCCCGGGCCCGCAGGGCTCCAGGCCTGTGGCGCCGTTGCCCGCTCTGTGCATCCCGCGGGCGGGAGGAGGGGACAGGTGGCCCTTCTCGAGTTGAGGACCTGGAACCACCTGGCAGCTGGGGGCGGGGGGCGGGGGCAGAGCCTCCCGGGCAGTCCGGCTCAGCGCCTCGGGTCCTGACCGTCTCAGCACCTCCACTCTCCTCCTCCCGGGTCCGAGCCCCTGCATCTGGAGCCCGGCCTGGACGCACACTCCCTTCCTTCTGCCCTGCCTCCCCCGCAGCGACCCTGTCGCACCGTCGGACCGAGCCCATCCTCCGCTTGGATCCTGCAGGGCTTCGCTTTGTGTGTTAAATGGGCGCCGACCCCCAGCCCGAGGCCTTTCCCTAGTATCGCACATCACACGTCTGTGAGTGTTTACCGTCTCCCCGAGGTGGGGTTACTCCTCTCTCCCGCCATCACCCCACTACCTGCCTCCTGGTATCCCTCCCTGAAACTCGTTCTCGCCCGAGGGCTTCTTACATTCTCTGTCTCCTCTGCCTGGGATGCTCCTCCCGCAGGCATTTCCATGTCACTTCATTCAGGCTCCTGTCGCTGCCTCAGACAGCCCTCCCCGCCTCCCTCTCTCAACAGCACACCCAGGTCCCATTCCCTCCCCACGCCTCGGCTTTCTTCATAGCACTTTGCCACTCCCTGTCTTTCATGTTTATTCCCTCCCTCCTCCCACCCTCCAGTGTCTGTGGTATGAGCATGGGGCACCCTGTCCATTGCTCTTCACATAATGGAACACATTGAATATTCCATAAATGAATAAACAGACTTATTAAAGCTTTCCGAGTAGTAAGTTCTTTCAGGGTTCTTCTAAAGGGCATAATTTCAGGGCTAAAAATAATATTGAAATTGTACTGATGGTTGTCAGAATGATTCAGGGAATTGTAAACAGGGAAGTTACGAGATTTTTATAGAAAAAAGCCATTCATCCATTCACAAAATTAATATTTACTGGGCACTTGATTAAACAATGAGAGGTCAGGGAAGGTATCCCTGAAGAAGATATTGAAATAAGATCTGAAGGAAAAGTAGGAATTGCACGGGTCCTCAAACTACGGCCCGCGGGCCACATGCAAATACAAATATTGTATTTGTTCCCGTTTTGTTTTTTTACTTCAAAATAAGATATGTGCAGTGTGCATAGGAATTTGTTCATAGTGTTTTTTTTAAACTATAGTCCGGCCCTCCAACAGTCTGAGGGACAGTGAACTGGCCCCCTATTTAAAAAGTTTGAGGACCCCTGAATTAAGGTGAGAGAGTGATTCAGAAGTTAGAAGGTTACACCTGTGATCACACATATTCTTAAATATAATTGTTCCCTTTTGAAAACAGGATTTGTAAGGCTTAGCAATAAGCTAATGCTTCTACATAAACTTTTGTTAGTAGATGCACATGTGAAAAGCATATTATTCCCTTATTTTAAACACAGGTTTTTCAATTTCCTGCTATTAAAAACAGATATTTTAGCCCTAGCTGGTTTGGCTCAGTGGATAGAGTGTCAGCATGGTGACTGAAGGGTCCCTGGTTCGATTCCGGTCAAGGGCATATACCTGGGTTACAGGCTAGATCCCCAGTAGGGGGCATGGAGGCAGCCAATCAATGATTCTCTCTCATCATTGATGTTTCTATTTCTCCCTCTCCCTTCGTCTCTGAAATCAATAAAAAATATATTTAAAAAAAGATTATTTTAAAGTAGACTTATTAAAAAGGATCTATTTTAAAAATAACTTTATTTCCAAAATGAAGCTCCACGGCAAAGCACAGCTCTTGAAAGGGGAAGTGACCGTCCTGACTTTTTTTTTTAATGAAATGTTTACATACAGAGATGCGGGACACCGAAGGCCCCAGCATCCAGATTCAATGAGGGGTAACATCTGCCGTATTTGCTCCATCTTGAATTTTGGGAGAAAAAAACGTTTGGTATCCTTCTCTGCTGCTGTTTCAGATTAATTTCACCATTTAATTGCAAACTATAAGTATTTTCCAGAGATTTTTTGTCGTTAATCCTCACCTGAGGATATTTTTCCATTGATCCCTAGAGTGAGTGGAAGGGAGGGAGGGAGGAACATGGATGTGCAATGTGAGAAAGACACATCAATTGACTGCTTGCCGCACGCACCGGGGTGGGGATCCTGCAATCTAGGTTTGTGCCCTTGACCGGGAATCAAACCTGAGACCCCTTGGTCCGTGGGCCGACGCACTAATCACTGAGCAAAACTGGTCAGGGCTGTTCAGAGACTTTCTTGGCATTTCATATCCTCTCCATATTAACTTGGAGAAACTCTTTGCTCTCACTTTCCTAAATCACTGGTTCATCTTCTACTCTGTTTCTCCCTTTAGGACTTGGTTTTCTTGGAGTAAATCTCTATGTCCAGGGTAAAATGAATACCCTGCATTTAAGGTTTGCTGCTGCTGTTAGCTGCGGGCGGGCAGCTTTAGCCAGGCAAGCTTTCCCTGGATCGTTGCTTCTAAGCAATTCTTTACAATCCCGAGATCTTCAGTTTTCATAACTTTAAAGTCACTTTTTTTTAGTTTCAGGGCACACCAGTTTCCCTGTTACAGAACCACTTCTTGTCTTAGAAACCTTATGAGTAAATAGGTTTTGTATTTTCATTCTGTTTTGGTAATGGAGTCAAATGTCATGAAGTGTTTGCCTAAAGACCTCGCCTTTTGCCCAGCTGGGTGTGTCTCAGCCTTTGGATATCCACCCCGGAATCAAGAGGTCACCGGTTTGGCCCTAACTGGTTTGGCTCAGTGGATATAGCGTCGGCCTGCGGACTCAAGGGTCCCAGATTCAATTCCAGTCAAGGGCATGTACCTTGGTTGCAGGCACATCCCCAGTAGGGAGTGTGCAGGAGGCAGCTGATTGATGTTTCTCACTCATTGATGCTTCTAACTCTCTATTCCTCTCCCTTCCTCTCTGTAGAAAATCAATAAAATATATTTTTTTAAAAAAAGTGGTCACTGGTTTAATTCCTGGTCAGAGCATATGCCCAGGTTGCCCTGGGCTGCGGGCTTAATCCCCAGTAGAGGGTGTGCAGAAGGCAGCCAATGATGATTCTCTCTCATCATTGATGTTTCTATCTCTCCCTCTCCCTACCTCTCTAAAATCAATAAAAAATATTTTTTTTTAAAAAGGACCTCACCCTTTAAGTGCCCAGAGTGAAACTGGAAGTAGAGATCTAGAGTAATCTAGTGTTATAAGAAATAGTACCCTTGTCATTGTTGAAAAGGAATAGTGCTATGTTATGCTTCAATTTACTGTTAAATTGCATGGATAGGAGACACCCCCGCAGCACCTGTGAAGACCATGCTGCAGAGGCCAACCCAAATCAGGTGTGTTGGGGGGAGAGAACGCTGTGGTACCTACTGGGCGGAGCACAGGTGCCTTGGGAATGCCACACTTAGCTCTAGAGCAGTGGTTCTCGGCCTGTGGGTCGCGACCCCTTTGGTGGTCGAACGACCCTTTCACAGGGGTCACCTAAGACCATCCTGCATATCAGATATTTACATGACGATTCATAACAGTAGCAACATTACAGTTATGAAGTAGCAACGAAAATAATTTTATGGTTGGGTCACAGCATGAGGAACTGTATTTAAAGGGCCTGAAGGTTGAGAACCACTGCTCTAGAGGGCGAGCCCCACTGGGATGGGTAGTTTGGGAAAGTACCTAGGAGTCATTTCTTTTAGATGCACTGCTCTCCCAACAAGGGCAGAGCTGACCAATACTATGGAATGGGCCAGAGGGACTCCTGACCAAACAGGTTCCACCAGCTTTGGAGGCAGCTGCCCCAGCTCAGCACAGAGGGAGGGCAAGGGGTCGCCTTGATGCCGAGCACCCACAGCGCACCAAGCTGTGTCCTGAGCTCCCCGCACACAGACATCGGAGCCTCTAACTGACCGGGGCGAGGCGCATGTTCAACCCAGGCTCCCAGAGCCGAGTGGGGACCCGAGGCTCTCACACAGGCTGACCCCTAAGCTTGTGCTGCTCTTACTCAGGTTTCCCCACGAGTCACTTCTATTGAAACGAAGCTGTCCAACCCAGTGGCTTCTCCGGAAAGGCCGGCTCTTCTTGCAAGGCCTTCCACCGGCACCTTTTTTTTGGCCACCTGTCTCTCTACCTTCTCTATTGACCAGACTGTAAAGAAGCAGGAAATGTCACTCCAAGACGGACTGAACTGGCCAGGGCACGGACTGGTATTTGTAAGCAGCCAATGGCCAGCAGCTTTTCAGAGTTATCCTTAGTGGGCAATGTGTTAACTTGGCTTTATTTCTTTATGCTCACATTTTTAAAAGTCCACACAAACAAAACAGCTCAATAAAAGAGATTAGTTACCTGCCAACCTTTATTCAGGAAGTGAGAGTTACTCTGAAACAGTGCTTCAAACGGCGAGGCACCCCAGGCTTTTGTTCTGCCGTGTGCGGGCGCTGCCCGAGTCCTGCACTCCCACGTAGGCAGCCTGTTTATTAAGGTGTCATTCTGGTTGGCACAACATGGTGGTCACATCTCAGCTGGCTTTATTTTTACTTGGGCAGTGGCCAGAGAACGCAGGTACTTCATCAATCAGGCGGCGTGCTGGGGTCCTAGGCCAAGGTCTAAGTGCTGTGCTGTCCGTAGTCAAGCCCCCCCTGGGGTCTGGGTTACATGCACGAAAGCCTTCGAGATCCCCCACCCGTCCCCAGTCAGGCAGCAAACAGTCTGCTCCACTAATGACAGAATTTCCTCCCCTTCCTCCAGAATCTTCTGAGGAGGATGAAAACAGAAACTAAATCCAGACTAGGATGCTGGAAAGAGATACTGATACACAAAGGCAAAACCATGACACACCCCCAGCACCTGTGAAGCAGGGGGGAAGCGAAATGAGAGGTAACGACAGGAGGTTAAACCATGCAGTCACAGCCAACTGAGAAAGCTGCTAAGAGACACATCGGATAAAAACAAAATCCACCCAGCTCCCTTCCTCCACAAGGTATTGTAATGCAGCAAACCTGTGACACTCCTTTTGTAGTAAGTACTGTTAGTATTCAGTACTTTAACAGTCATGGTGCATTCATATGCTTTTGCATAAATCAAAAAGAAACATAGCAATCAACCCACTGGCAAAATCAGGATGAAAAAGTCCAATTTTCCACAAAATACAGAGTTTCAGATTATTAAGTGGACAATAAATGTTTGCAGCCCTGTATAGAGCTTTGGTTGCCAAATGAAAAACAAAAAAATAATCCTGACACAGGATGTTCCAAAAGCCTAATTCATGAAAAAGAGACAATTTATTCTATGTTTAATAAAATGTTTATTAAGGTGGTAACACAAGATAAATCATGCAGGAGCTCAGTAAAAACAAAAAATTAATATAAGGAATGGTAATTGGTGCTGCTAATTTAAAAATATGTCAATCATTTTACTACCCAAAGTGATTTGAAGAAGTTGGAATCTGAGCATGGACATGGTTGCAGCAATCTTGCGGACTGTAAACTAAAGTGATAGGTGACTCCTTGTGTTCTAGTCCTCAGAGGAGTCGAGTCATAGATCCAAAATCATCAGCAATATCCCTCGCATCCTGCACTCAGATGGCAGCCCAGAACCCCTGCCCACCGAGTCCTTCGACACCCAGGGGACAGTCTCAAACCGACACTTCTTAGCAGGGGAGGGGAGCAGGCACCTTTGGTGACTCTCAAATGAGACTCCGTCCACATTCAGAATCTTAACATCTGTGGTGATGAAAACCATAGACTTGCATGTCATCCTTACCAGCCTTAAATGTAGTGTTGTGATGTCCAAGGGAGGGTTTTCATATCCGGTGGAAGAAATTTGAACAGATACACCAAATTGAACATAGTGTCTCAGATTTCAAACAAATATGACTCATCTTTTGGCAAAAATAAATATAGTGGAATGCAAGTTTGATAGATGAAAGAATATATAATCTACCAACTGTCAAGGAGTACGATTTCACTGCAGACACAAAGAATCAAAAGTTTCAAAGAATTTTTTAAAAAAAGAAGTTTGCACTATTTCTCACAAAATCTTCACTTTTGGAACTACCCCAATAGAAGCTACACACTGAATTTATTAATACAGCATTAAGTTTCTTTGTGTAAAAAAATCTTTGTACAGAGTAATAAAAAAAGATAAGGCAAGATGCATTAAACAGAAACCTTCTGGTTCTTTTCCTCTGGTTCTTCCAGAGCCACTGATGTATCTGCAACGAGAGTGAAGTTTCTGATTTTCCGTGCGAGCATCTTGTGCCTTGCTGTGGTAAGGGTTCTGTCCGAGCCCCTGAAGGACAGGTGCTGGTGATGGTCTGTGGCACTTACGCTGGCAGACTGAGCTTCTTTCCCTTGAGCACTGGAATTGAGAGAGGAAACAAGATTACTGGCACTGACATGCTTGCGCTTTCCTTCCTCCCCTTCCCAGAGGTCAAGATACCACATAATCAGGTTCAAGGAAATAAGCTTTTGGCAACCAACAGGCATTGGATTTTGGTGTCAATAAACAAAGCCCGCTCAACTATGAAAATGTCAGGCACACATATACTGGAATTTTCATGTACCTGGATGCCATAGCAATGACAGTTAAGAAATACAAACCTGACTGAAATTGCTGCTTCATTCACAGCAGTTGTTATCATGACTTTCTTCCCTAATCAACATACATTAAGATGTAACTGTCACTATGCCTATAACATTTGGACGTTAAAAAAGGGATAAGCCTGGCCGGTGTGGTTCAGTGGTTGAAGTCAAGCCAGGAAACCGAACTCACGGTTTGATCCCTGATCAAGATACATGCCCGGGTTGAGGACTAATCCCCAGTACGGGGGGCCTGCCAGAGGCAGCCAATTGATGGCTGATGTGCATTGATGTTTCTCTCTCTCTCTCCTCTTCCCTTCATCTCTCTCTAAAATCAATAAAAACATATTTAACAAAAAAGGGGGGATAAGATACCTATGCCCTGGTATCAGCAATAACACCACCATTAGGAACTTACTGTATAGTAACAGTTCTTAGCCTGGGGTCTACAGCTGGGTTCAGAGGCTCCTGAACCCCCTAAAACTATATGCATAAATATGCATACGCACTTTTTTCCTGAGCAAGGACGATAGCTTTCACCTGAGTTTTGTGAAGTTCACATTCCTCCATTCACATAAATGCAAAAATGTACATATATAGGGATGCTGACTTAAGCACTGGATTTTAATAGCAGCAAAATAGCAGAGATAGTGTGAATATCCATGAACTGGCTGAGTAAGGAAATTATGGTAATACACATAATGTTGAAAATCACATAGATTCTATTTACTGACATGAACAACTGTGAATGGGGAAAAGGTAGATTAGGTGTAGTTAACCATGTATCTGTGTATACGCACAGAGAGATCTGGAATTCCATTTACTGAAACAGTAACAAAGATCTCTGAGTGGTAGGATTTCAGGCGACTGTTTTCAGAATTATTAGTTCTGACTGAATTTTTGACAATGAAAATATGCCATTGTAAAAAATACTACTACAGCCAAAAGAAGAAAGACTCAAAACCGGATCCAGAATTGAACTGGACAGTCTGTCAAATGCTTTTCCGCAGCCAGTTCTGCTCATCAAGCTAGTGCCAGAGCAAAAGCGTGCGGCTCAGGGGCCCCTGAAGGGACAGGCGGGCCCAGCGGCGTACCTTTTGTGATGTACAAGTAGAAGAAGTCGCAGTAGAGGATGGTCTGGACAACGCCGGCCACCACAGCGATGAGGTCAAAGAAGCCCTCAAAGTAGAAGCGCCAGATCCAGTTGACGAGATAGAGCGCCCGGTAGAGGCCCAGGAAGAACAGGTAGTGGGTGGTGATGGTCTCCGCCTCCCCGGTCTTGCTGATCATGAAGAGCTGCGGGAGGATGGCCACGGACTCCAGGTAGATGGAGAAGGTCCACAGAATCTGAAGGAAAGCACAGGCTTTCAGCACTAGCGCCCGCCATGGGGTCACAGGAAACACCTGGCTTCCCTGTGAAGAGCACAGGAAGCGCGGAGTCTGGCGCCTGAGCCCAGGACAGAGCAGCTGAGCAATTTCCTAAGCCACAGACCCTCCCAATGACAAGCTGGCTCACCCTGGACACCTCTACCTCTTTGAATGCTCATCACCTCGTCTCTCCAGCGTCGCATTCTTCCCTGTTCAAATCTCCGTGAATCATCACAGAGGATGTTTCTCCTGGGTAAGCTTGTCCCAGTCTGAATCTAGTGTCCCGAGTCAACCCTGCTTTCTGCCAGGGTGGACCACACTGACAACCAGGCCCCTTCCATTCCCTCACTGCCAATGTTCCTCCCCAACTGGTCTCCTTTCCAGACTACCCAACGAGTCTATTTTTCTTTTCTTTTTTTAAAAAATATATTCTATTGATTTTTCACAGAGAGGAAGAGAGAGGAATAGAGAGTTAGAAACATCGATGAGAGAGAAACATCGATCAGCTGCCTCCTGCACACCCCCCACTGGGGATGTGCCCGCAACCAAGGCACATGCCCTTGACCGGAATCAAACCCAGGATCCTTGAGTCCACAGGCCGACGCTCCATCCACTGAGCCAAAACGATCAAGGCTATTTTTCTTAATTTTTAGGCTTTTTGGTGGGGTTACACCAGAGGAGGAAAGAAATTGGAGTTGCCATCATGCAAACTCTGCCCAACATGGTACTTTATTCATGCTGACGGCAGGACTTGGGAGCACTCCTTGGAGTGATCACCAGCCCAGGCCTCCCGCACCCACCAGAGAACCAGGAGCAGCGCAGTAACTGAATCCCAGGTGCTGAGGGAAGGACTCGGCACTGAGGGGCAGCCACACCTCACAGTGCCAGGGCACCATGCACACCACTTCTAAAGTTGAGGAGCATAGCAGCAGTGCTGCTTAGGGGTCACAGACAGAATCGACATGTACATTCAGGGGAAACAAAGCTGGCTAGAGTGGGGAGAAGATCCTGTTCAGCAAACACGCAGACAGGCAGAGCACCGTGTCTGGTACCACAGCAGCCGAGTTCATGTTCTAAAGGGGTCAGGCAATAACCTGTCAGCTGACACCCAACTACCTGGGGCTTAACTTCTGCCCACCATTTATGTACACCAATTAGTTTCTGTTGCACCAGAAGCTTGCCAAACTGAAAAAGCACACCAAAACAAAGCAACCCCACATTATCTACAAACAGGCCTATTTCCCTCGGGAGCCAGACGTGTGCACTAAATAACCTCTTAACTAACCTCAAGAGGAGAGAAATCATGATTGACTAGAAACGAGAGTCCTCCCACAGGGACCACCAGAAATTCCACTCGGAAGGTATCATGGTTTCCGTCGTAAGTTGCCTTAAACTTCATGTAGATCAGGTACACTGTGGCGTAGGAGCAGGCAATGTAGATGACCTAAAGCAAAAGAAAAACACCAGGTCATCAATGCATCCAACTCCCTTGGTTTTCTACGTCATTCATTCATACACATACACACACACACACACACACACACACACACACACACACACTAGAGGCAGGGTGCAAGAAATTCGTCCATGGTGGGGGGCGTGTCCCTCAGCCCAGCCTGCGCCCTCAGGGGATGCCAGCAGACCAACATCCCTCGCACTCCGGGACGCTGCGTGCACCAGTGACCATACTTTTCATACAGGTAAAAGGCATCTTGCTGTTGTATGGACAGCTACACTTTTTTGCCCTGATTATAAAAAGTAGTACATAACATGATCCTTCTGAGGCAGCAGTACCATTTTCCCCGTCTTATGGGTGGAAAAACTGAAGCAGAGAGAAGTTTAAGTAATTGGCTTTGTCACAGTTATGTGTCAGAATCAGGGCTGACCACAAAATGTGCAAGTCCGAGTCCATACATGTCATCGCTGCATCATCCTGTTTTTTCAGTGTTAGAGTAGCCTTGCCAGGTTTTAATTTTTAAGTTTAAGAGACTGTTCCCAATATATAGGGTAGGGTCCCTGGGCCTGGCCGGCGATCAGGGCTGATCTGTGGGGCGATAGGCGAGTGATACAATGGAGGCACCACCACCTGCCCCCCCACCCTGCACTTGCCTTGGCTGGAGGCCTGGCACTGCCTGCTCGCCAACCCCACCCCCCACTCGCTGCTGCTGGTCACCTCCCTCTGTGCGTCTGCCCCCTGGTGGTCAGTGTACATCATAGCGACCAGTCAGTCCACCATTTGTTCAGCTGTTCGATCGATTTGCATATTAGGCTTTTATTATATAGGATTTTTGTTGTTGTTGTTTATTTTTTTAATATATATTTTATTGATTTTTTACAGAGAGGAAGGGAGAGGGAGAGTTAGAAACATCGATGAGTGAGAAACATCGATCAGCTGTCTCCTGCACACCCCCTACTGGGGATGTGCCCGCAACCAAGGTACATGCCCTTGACCGGAATCCAACCTGGGACCCTTTGGTCCGCAGGATGACACTCTATCCACTGAGCCAAACCAGCCAGGGCTAGGATTGTTTTAATTTAAAAATTTAAATATAGCCCAGCCAGTGTGGCTCCGTTGGTTGAGTGTGGTCCCATGCACCAAGAGGCTGCAGGTTCAATTCCCATCAGGGCACATGCCTGGTTTGCTGGCTCGGTGATTCTTCCTCATTGATATTTCTCTCCCTCTCCCTTTTCTCTCTATAAAATCAATAAAAACATATTTTTAAAAATTTAAGTATAGTAAAAATCACTTTAGGGGGTGTATATAGTTCTATGAGTCATATAACCACCACCATAATCAAGAAACAGATCAGTACTGTCACCCCACAAAATTCCCCCAGGCCTGACCTCTGGCAATCTCTGATCTGTCCTTGGTCTCTGTAGTTTTGAGTTTTCTAGAATGCTGACTTTAAGACCAGCTTCTTTCAGTTAGCATTATGCATCTGAGATCCATCCATGTTGTTGGTATATTAATAAAACAAGTGACTCCTTTCTGCTGTTCAGTAGCAGCGGCAGCCTACTGTGTGAGTTACCAGTCTGTTCATCCACTCACCAGTTAAGGACAGGTGGACTGTTTCCAGCTTCGGGGATAAAAGCTGCTATAAACATTTGTGTACAGGCTTTTGTGTGATTTTTCATTTCCCTTGGGTAAATACCTAGGAATGGGATTGCTGGATCATATCTTAAATATAAGTGTGAAATGCCAGAGAATGTATTTTTTTTAAATATTTTATTGATTTTTTTACAGAGAGGAAGGGAGAGGGATAGAGAGTTAGAAACATCGATGAGAGAGAAACATCGATCAGCTGCCTCCTGCACACTCCCCACTGGGGATGTGCCCACAACCAAGGTATATGCCCTTGACCGGAATCGAATCTGGGACCCTTGAGTCCACAGGGTGACGCTCTATCCATTGAGCCAAACCGGTTAGGGCCAGAGAATGTATTTTTAATACCATTTTGAACTATTAGAATGTAGCTTAAGAAAAAAAAAAAAAAGCAAAGTTCAATGCAGTTCAAAACCAATGTACTTTCTTTCAGCATCATGATATTTCTTAGTACTGCTTTTTAAAGATAAATTAATGTAACTCATCTTAAACTTTATAAAATGATGGTTTTTACTTAAATTATGTTACTTTAACACTGAACTTCAGATTGTTGCTATGAAACTTTGGTAACCTAACAAAACCAAAACCAAAAGTAAGTGTAGGCAGTAAAACACCGCTGCCTAAGATAAAAAGTGATTTCACCTGCATAGCAGTATAGCTGTTCAAGGTTTATAATTACGTAATACTAGGGGCCCGATGCACGAAATTCATACAAGACTAAGCCTTCCTTCCCCCAGCTGCCAGCACTGGCTTCCCTCTGGTACCCGGGACCTGGGCTTCCCTCCGGCCGCTGGCAGGCACTCAGGACCCGGGCTTCCCTCTGGCCACCAGCAGACACCCGGGAACCGGACTTCCCTCACAGCCCTGGCTTCGTCAGGAAGGTCATCCGGAAGGGCATCCAGAAGGACGTCTGGTCTAATTAGCATGTTATGCTTTTATTATTATAGATGTTTCTGCACATTCATCCAACCCAAAAAACACCATATATTCATCCAACCCCAAAGAAAAGTCTGACATTCTGAAATGACACCAATTTTCAGACACTAGAATTTTAGGCTCAGAAACCAAACAGCAGGTTTAGCCTGTGAGTAAAGACAACTGGATACCAGCTACTCCTCAGGAAGAGCACCTTGCACAACTTAATTAGGGGCAGCATTTAGGCAAATGATTTAACAGGACAATGAAAGCAATCACCAAGACCTTTTGTTTTGCTTCAAAACAAAACGAAAACACTAAACTGTCCCTGGCACCTCAACACGAGTTGTATTTGCAAATAGTAAGGTATTAAAATTGTTGATCATACCCATCCAAACACCAAAGAACTACCAAAGAAAAATCAAGATTAATCTTATACTGTTGGAGTTCTCTCCACACACAAATATATGTATACATGTATATGAATAAAATAACATAATCTACATGTATAAACAAAATCAATGTACACAGAGTCCCCACCAGCAGAACATCTGGCCGAGGAACACATTGCCAGGGTTCCCGGCCAGCATCCAGGTTATGGCCTGACCAGATTATGTCCATAAGGGAGAGCAGCCGCTGGGGAGAGCAGCCCCTTTTCTCTACTCATCAGTGCTTTGGCGTTTAAAGTAAAAAGCTATGAGCACATAAAACTCGACTGTACTCGTCTGATTCTTAGGATATGCTTGGAAACTAGAACCAAGCAGGATTCTCCTGAAAGCTAGGTACCCTGAGGGGGAGGGGGAGGGTTCTTGCTCACACACTTCAAATACCTGCAGTTTTAACTTGCATGGACAAGCAGGGACACAGGCATTTGTAAGTAAGCCCATTTCCCAAGGACTAAGCTCCCATCACTTAGTAGTAAAGAATGGAATGATTACAGGCAGCTCAAATTTACTTTTTAGTAAAGATGACAGACTCAAATATTGCTCTGTCTGCTTTGACCTGTGCTTATTAAAATGCTTTTGGACACAAAGTGTTGGGGAGTTGTTTCAAATACCACACCAAGCCCTAGCCGGTTTGGCTCAGTCTCAGCCTGAGGACTGAAGGGTCCTGGATTCAATTCCGGTCAAGGGCCTGTACCTCAGTTGCAGGCTTGATCCCCAGCCCTGGTCGGGGCTTGTGTGGAGGCAACCAATCGATGTGTCTCTCTCACATCCATGTTCCTCTCTCTGTCTCTACCCCTTCCCTTCCACTCTCTCTAAAAATCAATGGAAAAATATCCTCAGGTGAGGATTAACAAAAATAACAACAAAAAACCCAAAACATAAATACTACACCAATAAGCTTCAGCTTAAACATTACTTTCTTGGCTGTTCCAATAACCAAATGCCTACAACAGTGCCTGGCACACAAACACTCACTAAGCACTTGAATGAATGAATGAATGAATGAATGAATGAATGAATGAAATTAGACTCCTTTTCACATCCTGAGAGCCCCCTACTTTTCCTCTATAGCACCCATCACAAATCACAGCCATTCATTTAGCACTGGGATGACTGTCTACTCCAGCGGTCGCCAATCAGTGGTCCGCGGACCACTGGTAGTATGTGAGGTCCAAAAGGTTGGTGCCCGCTGGTGTAAAGAAACCTCTGCTACAGTTCTCGGAGAGAATCTGCTGGTCTTGATTCACTGGCGTGGGCAGTAAGTGCCCCCGGTAGTGCCCAGAGCAGAAACATAGGCTAAAAATAAGAGAAACCTTTGGAGCAATGGTCGCCACCCGGTGGTCTGCAGACCACTGGTGATCCGTGAGGTCCAAAAGGTTGGCGAGCGCTGGTCTCTTCTCCCCACCAGATCAGGACTTGCTTCCTGCCCTGTCCTCAGTGCTAGGAAATGCCCAACCCTGCGGGCACTCTGTTAGAATGAGTTCAATACTGCTTCTCCTAGTGTGGAGTGTGAGCCACCAGTGCTACACAGAATGTTAGGTATATGCAAACATTTTGTGTTTTAATAGTTATACATTTGTTTTAATGTGAATTGGGGAAAATATACAGACACTAAAGGTAGCACTGATACTAATGTTGAGGATAAATCAAAAGGTTTAAATACATATTTAGTAAATTATGGCACAGACATCATTTAAGCTTGGCAAAAATAATAAAGATGGCACATACAGCAAAAGCTTATGAAACATGGACTTAGTGGGGGAAATAAAAGTGGTAGAAGGTTAACATAGTCCCTCAGCAGCAAAATAAGGCATTGCAGCGAGGAGCCTGTGCTTTCATTCCTTGTCCTGAACCAACTTGCTGGGTTTCCCAGGAGTCTAATTTCCCTCTGCTTAAAAACATAAAAGTTACCCTCTCTCTCTCTCTCTTTTTTCCTAAAGAGTAATTTATTGATTTTTAGAGAGAAAGGAAAGAAGAGGGGGAGAGAGAGAAACACTGATGTGAGAGCACATCATCAATCGGCTGCCTCCTGCACACCCGCTGCCAGTGATGGAGCCCGCAGCCCAGGCATGTGCCCTGACCAGGAATCAAACTGGCAACACCTTGGAGATGATGCCCAACCAACTGAGCCAGCCGGCCAGGGCTTACCCGTCCTTCTTGTAGGGTTGTCAAGAGCATCAGAGATCTGTCATACTCAAGGAGCTTAAGATTTAAAAATGTCTAAGTTCAAAACATTCAATTAGCCGAAACCGGTGTGGCTCAGTGGATGGAGCGTCGGCCTGCGGACTGAAGGGTCCCGGGTTCGATTCCGGTCGGGGGCATGTGCCTGGGTTGCGGGCACATCCCCAGTGGGGGATGTGCAGGAGGCGGCTGATCGATGTTTCTCTCTCATCGATATTTCTAGCTCTCTATCTCTCTCTCTTCCACTCTGTAAAAAAATCAATAAAAATATATTTAAAAAAAACAAAACATTTAATTAAATCGAACTGCCCTGAAATGGAAAAAATAATATACTCAATGATGTTTCCATAGGTCCGTGAATTATGGATGAAATACAATCCACTGGATGCCATACCTACCTTCATAGATGTGTTATATAGTGAAATGAATGAAGTAAAAAGATCCAGGTATCGAGTTGTGAAGACCAGTGCAAAGAGAAGCTGGCTTTTTCCGGAAATACCTAAAGAAATGAAAGGGAAGTGTTAGAAAAGCCCGAAGAGCTCTGATGCATGTAGGTAACACTGTGCGGAAAGCAGATCTGGAAAATGGGACACCAGGGGCCAAAGGCTAACGTCTGGGATGACTAAATAAATGAGATTTCCCTTTTCTTTCCCTTCACATTCTTGAACATGCTCCTCTGGGGAGGTTCTAGCAACTGTTGTCTTAGTATGATGGGGCGACCCAGGAAAGTGTCTTAATTAGGCCAGAGCCAACATACCAGGGCGCACATTGTCCAAATGAACATTTATTTCTCTAATATGTCACTTTAGGTAGGAACAGATTTATTTCAAAAAGTCTGCTGTTATTTAGTGTTGTAACTTTTCTGTCACCTTTAGCACCTCTTTCCATTAGGAAACAGGACCTCGTGGTGACAAATCTTTCAAGGATGGAGCTAGAGTCAGACTCTCTGGTTGAGGCGATGAGGAACACTGCTTCACGTAAGAGTCTGAGCATCAGCCCCCTGGTATGGCCTCCAAGGCCACTTCTTTTGTGAGGGCAGCACTTACTTGGACACATTACAATGTTTTAAAATTCCATCTCTTAGCTTCATCATACAGCCAACCTCACACTCACACAGCCAGTCTTCCAAAGCAGCAGTCTTTTTTTTTTAACCCCGTGAAACTGTTTCCACCTCCTACCACCAACCCACCTCCAGAGTACTGCTGTGGTACAACTGGAGTCAGCTGGGGAAGTCGGCGTCACACACACAGCATGCACTGGGCTTCTCCGATATCTACATTTGGCCAGATATTTGTGATGAAGGATGTGCACTAAGGGATTCAGATGTTGAAGACTGAGTGAGTTAATTAAGGAAACAGAACCCATCCACCTTCATCAACACTGCAAACCTCACACCATTAGACTTATTTAAGCATGTGCAGATATGTTACTGCACGCAAATTAGCAATACACCTACAGAACGTAAAATCCACGTTTTTAAAATCCTTGCCCAAGGATAGGTTTATTGATTTTAGAGACAGAGGGAGAAAGAGAGAGAAACATCAATTGGTTGCCTCCTGCATGCGTCCCAACCGGGATTGAACCTGCAGCCTAGGTACGTGTCCTGACAGGGAATCACACCCACAACCCCAACCAACTGAGCCACCTATCCACGGCAAAATCTCATGTTAAAAAGTAGTATTTTACCGAACAATTTTGCAGCTTGTTGAAATTAAATGCCTGGATCTAAGGATGTTACTTTCTATGTTTGAATAACTGCAGTTCTAGCCTATTCACAAAAACACCTAAATAGAAGTGAATCCAGACCCATCAATAGTAACCAACCTCAAGGCTAAGAGTGGAGCTACAGACAGTAAGACTGCTCTTTTTGGCTTTTTCTCCTGGAAATGAGAAACTTTATTTTCCTACTAAAGTTCAATGTTCCAAAGGGGAGGAGAACCAACAACGCTGCCGCTGCCGCAGAATATGAGAGAAGACAAGATGGGAAGGGGGAGAACAGGGGCTTTGTGATTCACATTTGGTGTCTGTTGGAGCCTTGAAAGATAAATGTTAGTGAACTTCCTATATGGTTCACTCCAGTATTTTAAATAAAAAAATTATAGGATACATATGGGCAAATTTTGCTGCAAAATGTTTATTCAAATGGAAATTTGAAAGCCATTCAGACTTGAAATTTTGTCCTCCAGGTTCAACATTCCTACACTAAAAACCAGGGACTGTCATGTTGCTTTTTCCCACTCCCCTTTGCAACCCAACTTACTATCACTTCCTCTGGAAGTCATCTTTGAAGACCCCCTCCTCAGTGCTGTTTATTACATAATGGGAACTGCTTCACGCCAGCTGCTACCCCAGCTCCTATTACAGTACTTATCAAATACAGGGTGATGGCCTGGTCACCTGTCTCCCCTCTCCCCTAAGCCCCTACTAGACACGGACATCTTCAAAGGCCCAGGATGTGCCTTGTTCCATTTGGTATTATCTGTGTTGGGCACTAAGCCTGACACACAGCAGGCTAAGGAAATATTTGCTAAATCAATGAACAAATAGACAAAAGAAAATGGAATTCATTTTACTTTCATGTCATGGGGTAAATTCTCATTCTGTGGTATTTTGGGATAATACTTCCAAAGAGTTTCTAAGTGATACTGTCTCTGTGACTGTAAATAGGCAATATGCTCTGGGCTCTGCCCTAATTTACTGCCACCCAGAGGGTGGGGGAGCCTCCTGAGCAGAGCATGGGGCAGAGACAGGGACGGGCAGCATGTGGCTGGAGCTGGTCCCGTTGTGCAGAATCCAAGCAGGAACTGCTTTTGTGTAATTTGAGGACACTCACACAGTTCTTCTTTATTCTTTCTGGCCTGGGATCCTGATTAGGAAATAGCAGCTTTGTATTTATTAGGTGCAACAAACATCTTTATAATTATATAAAGTTTATTCACACACATTACAATTTTTGTTGTTCAGATGCCCTAGAATTGCTGGGATAAAATGTATGCAACTTGAAGTGTGGCACACTGTCGAACTCCCCCTAGAAAGGCTGTGCCACCTTACACATTCACTAACACTGGATGAGAGTCCCCTTTATTTCACACCCTGCCTACATTAGATGTTGTCAACCCTGCCTTTCCCTTCTGTGAACTGCCAACTTTGTCCATTTTTCTAGCAGTTTTTTTTTTAATTGTAGGAGTATCTTATGGGTTTTAACCCTCTGTCACTTTGATATCTTGCAGATTATTTCCCTCAGTTCACTGTCTTTTAACTTTGATGATATTATGAATAAGTTAATCTGGGGAGACGTATCTTCTTGCTTCCTCACCAGCCTGATTGGTCCCATCCAGAAGTAGGGTTTGAACATACATTCAGGTCATCTATGTCCATCAGCAAAGTCCTATACCTTTCTTCATAGAGGTTTTTTTTTTTTTTTTTTTTTTTTTTAAATATATTTTATTGATTTTTTACAGAGAGGAAGGGAGAGAGATAGAGAGTTAGAAACATCGATGAGAGAGAAACATCGATCAGCTGCCTCCTGCACATCTCCCACTGGGGATGTGCCCGCAACCCAGGTACATGCCCTTGACCGGAATCGAACCTGGGACCTTTCAGTCCGCAGGCCGACGCTCTATCCACTGAGCCAAACCGGTTTTGGCCTTCATAGAGGTTTTATACACTGCTTGTTGGGAAGTCAGGGATCCTTCCCCAAATCCTTCCTACAACTTCACATTCACAGGATTGATTGCTTATATGGCTTAATACCCTATATTTTTATCTTTAAATATATATATGTATGTACACACATCTATACTAGTATATTATTTCAACTAAATTGCAGCTTTCTTGAGCAGAAACTTTGATAGCTATAAGCTGCTGCTCTGAGTTGTGTCCCGGGTGCCTTGCACATAGTGGGTGGTCAATAAATGTTTAAGAGCAATGAATACTCAAGAGACTGGCTGGGAATGTGAGGCAAAAGCTTCTAGAAGTACTCAATGACAACAATAAAAGATGAGGTGTTTCCCATTTACTTCAAAAATAAACTGAGATTATGAGAAATGCAGGGACTCAGTACATTCCTGGCATGTTTGGTAGGATGAAAAGTCTACAACCCACAATCAAAGCAGTAGGTGGAGGAGGGCAGGGAGAGGCCAGGGGAGGATGGCTGGGGCACGTGGATCTCAGAAGGATTCCACTAATAATTTAAGTAAAACAGACACAGGACTACGAATAACTATCAGCCTACAGGAAAATGTAGCTACAAACCCAGGCTTGTTCTCCGGAGGCTATGCCGGTCAGTGTTTAGGACAAGAATAAAGTGAGAACTTGAGCAAACTGTGGATCCAGTTGCAACGATTGTTCAGGAATATGAGAAACCCACATTTCATGGGGGCACCCCTCTGTAATGACCATGGCAGACACAGACAAGGACAAGCCAATTCAAACAGAGCTAGACCAAGATCAAGTCCTCTGCCCCCCCTTTAAGATAGGTCCTTTAAACAGCTGCTCTCCAATTAGCCGGTCAGGAAAACAATCCCCCACTTCCTTACTAGCCTGCCTCATCCCTTACCTAAGAGAAACCCTCTGGTTTGTAACTGCAGGCATGTTCACAACAGGTGCCAAATTCCTAAAGTGAGCCCCAATACCAGTATTTTCAAAGTGAGAAACACAACCTGGATGTGCATGTCTCCTATTCCAGTTATTTGAGAAACTCATATCAAATTCTTACTCTTTCAAAAGTCTCTAAACAACTTTTATAATTTAGGATGGAAAAACCAAGCAGCTAGTCAAATTTAGCATTTAATTCTGAAAAAATAATCCTCACAATTTTGATTTTTAAAAGGTTAGGAAATCTCAAGTATAAGAACTAAAATGATCCTAAGTCCGACAAGGAAAATAGTTTAATAATGCCCTATAACTACAGGCTTAACTGTAGGAATACTTGACAAACACACACGAATGGAACTCACCTATTTATCTCCCTAATTATTTTGGCTGAAGTATTTTATATTTTCCTAAATGCTCCTAAATCTCCCAAATGAAAATAGTGAATATTAAAAACAAACAAAAGAACAAACTCATTTTTTCTTTATTACTCAAGGTTCCCTTAAGAATTTCCTAGCCCTGGCCAGTTTGGCTCAGTGGATAGTGTCGGCCTTCGGACTGAAGGGTCCCGGGTTTGATTCTGATCAAGGGCACATACCTTGGTTGCAGGCTCCTCCCCAGCCTGGGCCCTGATCAGGGCGCATGTGAGAGGCAACCAATCGATGTCTCTCTCCTATCTTTTTCACATGATGTTTCTCTCTGTCTCTCCCCCTCCCTTCCTAAAAATCAATGGAAAACTGTCCTGGGGTGGATTAAAACAGAATTTTCTATCTGGGGTTGTCCAACATCTTAGTTTACATACACGTTTAGGAGACATCATGCTTCAACTTCATGACTTGACAGAGGCAGGGATTCTGAGAAACATGTGAAAGAAAATGAAGAGACTCATCCAAAAAATTTGGAGTAAAAATAAAGATTAAAAGTAACATTTGCTGGGTGTGTGTGGGAGGGATGTGCAAAACGGGAGGTGTTCTAAAGGTAGAAATTTCCAGTCATAAGGTAAGTAAGTCCCAGAGTGTAATGTCTCCTAAATGTGTATGTAAACTAAGATGTTGGACAACCCCAGAGTGTAATGCACAGCATGTCTATAGTTAACAAAACTGTGCTGTGTATCTGAAAGTTGCTAAGACAGCAGATCTTAAAAGTTCTCATCACAAGAAAAAAAACTGTAACTACCTGTGGTGGGTGATGTTAACTAAACTTACTGTGATAATTACTTTGCAAAATACACATATATCAAATGTTGTACACAAAAAACTAAGACAATATGTCAATTACATCTCAAAAAGCAGGAAAAATAATTTTCTGAGTGCAACGAAAAATGACCTAAGTAACTGGTCTGGCATCAAACATTTACACTGAAATGACTTAGGACAAAATACACAGATATTTCAAAATCCTTAATTGCGTGTTACTGATTGCCTGTTTAATCCTGGCTCTACCACTGAGTGTCTCACCTCCCTAGGTTCAGTTCCTCCTCCACAGAACGGAAGCAATAGCACCTGCGTCAGGTTATTGTAAGCCTTAAAGCCTTAGGTGGTTCTCAACCTTCCTGATGCCGGGACCCTCTAATACAGTTCCTCATGCTGTGGTGACCCCCAACCATAAAATTATTTTCGTTGCTGCTTCATAACTGTAATGTTGCTATTGTTATGAATCGTCATGTAAATATCTGATAGGCAGGATGTATTTTCATTGTTACAAATTGAACATCATTAAAGCATAGTGATGAATCACAAAAACAACATGTAATTATATATGTGTTTTCCAATGGTCTTAGGCGACCCCTGTGAAAGGGTCGTTCGACCCCCAGAGGGATCACGACCCACAGGTTGAGAACCGCTGCTTTAAGGCTGCAGGGATGAGCCACCTAAGGCACTCAGCTCACCGCCCAGCAGGCAAGTGCTCAAGTGTCCGCCCTCGCAGCGATTACTCTGCTGTCATCGGAAATCACACAGCGGACCCCTCGGAACTACGCACAAATGGAGAGATCACCTCCAGCCTGGCACACTGGCTTCAGGACGCGGACTTTGTCACATCCATCTGGGTCGCTCAAAGGTCTTTTTGGTGTTTGCTGACTTCCTGGATCTCAGCCTTGCTCCCGGGAGAGAGGTGAGGCCCGAGGACAGCGATCAAACGTGGGGGGTGACTTTAGATGGGGACATCTTTTAGGAATCAATGCGGTAAGTGGAATCTCCGCCACCCGGGTCCTTGAGGACTCCGTCTTTTACTGCCTCCGCGACAGTTAAGTTCTAGAATCCATCAAAAGTGACTTCACGGAGGCCGTGGCGCCAAAAGCAAGCACCAAGTAATGTAAAAAGCGGCCATTGTGGAACGTCTGGGGCTGGGAAAGCGCCGGGGTCCCAGCGAGAAGGGCTGTCTCTGCCCCGGCACCGCAGGGGGTGGGCACCGGGAGGGAGCCGCCAACTCCCTGGTGACGTGGAGCGAGGATCGCAGCGACCACAGCGACCCGGGCGGCCCCCAAGCCCGTCATTAGATGGAGGCCCTCGAGTCTGACAAACCAGCCCATTCCTCAAAGCGGCAGGAATGCTCCCCAAGAAAGGCGTGGGGGCCTCCCCCGCTCCCAGGCCAGGCAGGACTCGACCCCCGCGCCCAGAGGCCGGCCCTCCCGGGGGCAGGGTGCGGGGCCGGGTGACCTCCCTCCACGCCCGCGCCCGCGCCCGCGCCCGCACCGACCCGGCTGCCACGTCAGGCCCCGCCGGCCGCGGTCCTGCCCATCCTCCTCCCGCCCGTCCCAGGGACTCGCGGGGTCCCCGCACCCCCGGACGCCCGCCCAGGCCCCCGGAGAGGCGCCCCTGGAAGCTGGGGGCGAGGGACACGCCTGCCGGACTCCCCCCGCCCCACCCGCCAAACTTTTCAGGCAGAACAGGGACGCGCGCGGCCGGGGTGACGCCTCCTCCGCCCCAAAGGCTCGGGTTCAAGTTCGGGAGCGGACCCGGCGCGGAGCGGGGCCCGGCACGACGCCGCCCGCCCCGGCCGCAGCGCCCACCGAGAGGGGTCGCAGGCCGCCCGGGGTCCGCCGCCCGCCAGGCCGGCCGAGGGGGGCGTGTCGGGCCGGCGTCGGCCCCGCGAGCCGTGGGGCGGCCGAGGTCGGCGGGTCCTCCGGGGCACCCGGCCCCGCGCCCGAGCCTGCCCGGGGCCTCGCCCGCCGCTCACCGGCGCAGGAGCGCGTCTTCCAGATCTTCAGCAGCAGGATGACGATGGCCGCCAGGTGGGACAGGTCCCCGGTCAGCCGGAAGATGTTCATGGCGGCGGCGGTCGGCGCGGCGCCCGGGGGCTCGGCGGCTCAGGCGGCGGCGGCGGCCCCTGAGAGGAAGCGGCGAAGATGGCGAGAGCGGGCGCGACGTGGCCGGGGACGTGGCCAAACTGCCGGCGCGCGCGCGGGGCAGCCTGGGAAAGCCGGCCGCCGCCAGGCCCCGCCCCGGCCCCGGCCCTTAAAGGGGACGCTCCGGAACGCGGGCCGGGCGGGGAGCACCCGCTCCCGGGCTCGCGGCGGAGGACCTCGGCTTCTCGCCAACTCTCTGCTGCTGGTTTCCGGCTTCTCCTCGGGTGCCAGCGATTTCCTTTAGTTTTTGAAATGACACTCCCCTGTGAGCGATTTTCCCCTCCCGCTTATAGTAAGAGCTCTCGGGCTTACTGTATGAGAAAGTGTAACAGCGGTTCTCAACCTGTGGGTCGCGACCCCTTTGGCGGTCGAACGACCCTTTCCCAGGGGTCGCCTAAGACCACCCTGCATATCAGGTATTTACATGACGATTCATAACAGTAGCAACATGACAGTTATGAAGTAGCCACAAAAATAATTGTATGGTTGGCTCACAACATGAGGAACTGTATTTAAAGGGCCAGAAGGTTGAGAACCACAATAAAAATGAATCCGTGGTGGCGTCACAGAGGGTAAGGCCGATTTTGGGGGGTGTCTGGGGAGGGAGTCGCCAGCTCACTGAAGAGGAGGTCTGAAGGTTTTATCATTCTGGGGGTCCCTTTGAGGAAGAGTGCAAAGTTAGGTAGAAAAGTGAACAACTGCAGGATGAGAGAATAAATCACAAGAAATTACCGACGGAATGAAGCTGACAAACAGAATCTCCTGCATAATTTGCGGGTCCCCGGGGGGAAAGCATGGGGAAATGCTGTTAAAGAGACTAAAATATAAGCTTTCCCCTGTCTTGCGGTCTCTCCCAACTTGGGGTGTTTCCTGTTTGCTATTTACTGCCATTCATTCTAAGTAAAGAAAAACTATCTAAATTGTGATGGTGAATTTTACCGTTTGTCTGTATGTCGGGCAACGTCAGTTTCGAAATCAAGGATCAGAGCATTCAGCACGGATGCGGGATCCCTGAGAGCACACAATCCGTACGGCCTGGCTTGTCCTTGGATGTCCGCGGGCCCGGCTGGAAGAGATGGACACAGGACAGAAGCCCGAAGGTCGGAAGGAGAAGAGGGGCCCCCCAGGTGCAGTGCAGGCCGAGGGAGCACACTGTTGGGGATCCCGGGTGGGCCAGCGCTGTTGCTCCAGGGAGCCCGGGCCCGCCGTGGACTTGGGTGGAGTATGCACGGGGCCTGGTAGCTGCTGGTTCCCTCTCCCTCCACTGGCCTTGCTGGGGCGAGGCATCTCCTCTGTCCACACCACCACCTCAACCCCTGGCAGCGGGCACCCTCAAAGGTATGACCGACTCGGTGCCAGGATGTCCCTGGATCAGGGATGGGTGAGAGTCTTGACCACCCAATAGTGGGGTGGCCACTGCCATGCCCTGCTCATATAGGCCATAGGGCACACACGGTCAACCAGACCCCTGCCACACCTACACCCAGGCCCCCACCTCAGTGGAAGGTGGCAGTGGTCACTGGGCAGGAGCAGAGAGGAGGAGGCCGGGTTGCCAGGGAGACAAGAGAGCCGAGAACCCATCCTGATGAGGGGAGAAGGCGGCAACAGTGGAACCATGCAGGGGCCACAGCTCTGTAACCCACTCTATTGTCTCACTGGACGTCACATGCAAAACACAAATTCAAAGATAAAACTATTAAGAATTTGAAGACGGTGACCCTGGAGCTTTAAGCCTTGAGTGTGGGGCCCTCTGTCCCTGAGAAAGTGGTCGCTTACCATGAAGCCAGACCCGCTGACAGATGCCACAAACAGCACAGAAGCCAGAAAATAACACAATACTTTTATTTGTTTTTAAACACTGGTATCATTTATTTAAAATACTAGAGGCCTGGTGCACGAAATCCATGCACGGGTAGGATCCCTAGGTCTGGCCAGTGATCAGGGCTGATCTGTGGGGCAACCAGCAGGGAGATGGCCACCCCCCCCCCCCCCCCCCCACTGCTGGCACCTACCTTGGCTGGCCTGAGGCCTTAGGGCTGGGGGCAGCTCCTGCATTGAGCGTCTACCCCCTGGTGGTCAGTATGTATCATAACGACCGGTTGTTACCCCCCTCATTCTACCATTCGGTCAATTTGCATATTAGGCTTTTATTATATAGGATTTACTCCAAGAAATATACATATTAAAAAAATAAGGTAATTACAGCACTAAACCAGGCACCTTCGCCAAAATCACAGCCTCTTCTTAGAGTCCCCTTCACTCTAAGCCTCTTCCAAATTCTCCGTCCTGGGCTGAAGACATGGCAAGCGCCCCGAGGGTCAGCGCCAAGCATGCTCAGCGCCGGTCACTTTGTCCCTCTGTCTTGGAGTGCAGGCCCGTCCTTGTTCTACAGGGGTTTCCCCATCAGGAAGTTCATTTTAAACCTAAGCCAAAGGAGCGACTGTGGGCGAAGACAGGGCCGTCTTCACGGGGACGGTACATCGCTTTCCTGTTCCAGCTCCCGGCAAGGGGCTCTAGAATCCACCGGCTGGTGGCTGGCGGTGGCTTCAGCTTAGTCCCATGGATGATCAAAACACTGCTTGGCCAAGGGCAGCTCCTGCAACGGCCGGGACACAGGTCCCGCTCCCGCCGCTGCCTCTGTGACTGCGCGGCTCAAGGGAGGCCATGTGGGGCCAAGCAGCACAGGCACCTCACCCCGTTCCAGGAAAGACACTTGCCCAGGGAAACAGGTTCCCACGTGGAAGCTGGAGTGAGAGACGGCGGTGTTGGGTGATTTGGACAAATCAGGCTAGTTTGGCAGAAGCTGTGACGTGCCCGAAGCGCCTCCGCTGGACTGTTGACGGCCACAGGCCCGCAGAGATGAGCGTGCAGTCAGACCGGCTCTTCGAAACAGGCTGGCCTCTGGCGCAAGGCCTCACGGTGCTTTTATTAATTGACCACCTCGCACACGTATGAAATACTCTTTTTTCCTACAGTTTTGTCCCTGCACACTCTTTGGTCACCTCTTCACATGATACTGATTGTGTGTGTGTGTGTGTGTGTGTGTCTGTGTATTGGGATTAACAGCTTTAATAATTCAGAACATTGTGATTTTCCCAGTTTTGTTGAGATCCAGTGATATTAGCTCTAGGGCTGCAGCATAGTGACTCGATACTTGTATGGTGAGGGCGTGTCCCGGCGCCACGGGCTTGCCGGCTCCCCGGGACAGTTTTCCCCCCAGCGTGGGAAGGCCCTGCCCAAATGCACCCTGACTGCTCCACCTGGGGTCCCTCATGACTCAGCAGTTCAGCTCCTCAGTCGGCATTGGCAGCATCCGTTGACACAGCATTATTCAGAAACATCACTTGGTGCTTCGTCTAAGGAAAGACTAACCAAGGCTGTGTGTGTGTCGGGGGGGGGGGGGGGGTATTTCCTGAGCAAGTGAGACATGGCTCTTCACTCCGGCGCCAGGTGTAAATCTCATTTATGCTGGGGCTGCGCATGGGCAAGCATTGCCAAACAAATGGCTTTGTGTGGTGAGATGTTGCCAGATTGTATAAATATTTACATGCAGCCTATACCTGTGTGTTTCAGTAATGGGACTGGGGGCTTGCCACTGTGTGTGTGTGTGTGTGTGTGTGTGTGTGTGTGTGTGTGTGTGTAAGTGAAAAGGGATTCAGAGCCCTCAGCCACTTTCCATTCCTGGGAATAGATGCACAGAACAACCGGTGAGGACAATGCAAAGTTAAACACTGAAAGGGTCCAAGAACTTAGGAAAAGCTGCCTCTTCCTCGCCCCTCCACTTAGGGCAGCGGTTCCCAACCTGTGGGTGCGGCCCCTTTGGCGGTCGAACGACCCTTTCACAGGGGTCGCCTAAGACCATCCTGCATGTCAGATATTTACATGACGATTCATAACAGTAGCAACATGACAGTTCTGGAGTAGCAACAAAAATAATGTTATGGTAGGCTCACAACATGAGGAGCTGTATTTAAAGGGCCAGAAGGTTGAGAACCACTGACTTAGGGGATAGTATGTGCTTATCTTTTTTGGTATAGAAGAGGCTTTCTGAGCTTTTTTTGTTTTTAATCCTTATCCAAGGATATTTTTTTCCATTGAATTTTAGAGAGAGTGGAAGGAAGGGAGGAGGAAGGGAGGGAGAGAGGGAAGGAGGGAGGGAAGGAGAGAGAGAGAGAGAGAGAGAGAGAGAGAGAGAGAGAGAGAACCTGCAACAGAGGTAAGTGCCCTTGACTGGGAATCTCACTCACACCCCTTTGGTGGTCTGGGCCAACACTCCAACCACTGAGCCAGACCGGACAGGGCTTTTTTTTTTATTTTGGTAAAAAATTACAGCATGTTGGCTCATATCAACCTAGTCACACCTAAGAGAGTGGTCACTTCTTTCCACTCTTTCTAGAGCTGACGAGGTGAGTTTCAGCCTGAGCACCATCAAGCCTTCGGAAATGACCTGATATAAAACTACACTCCGTTGTCTCTCCCCGTTTCTTTTTCCATGTAAGTTTGCTGGGAAGATGTCAGTCTCAATGTGTGAGGTTATATCTGAGATTTAGTTCTGCATGTCTGTGTCTGAGTCTATGATGTCCTCAGGAGGACTATGAATTATTCCGTGTGTGTACACGTATGCACATATGTGTATATTCCTCAATACACACACACACACACACACACACACACACACACACAGGTTTGAGTACTATGCAATTATTTAAAGAGAACCACTTTCTGCAGATTTCTTCGCTAGTCAGAATTACATCAGTCATTCTTTAAAGACTTGACCATCTGAGGTTGATTTTCTCATGAAGCAGATTGGATGGCTGATAGCAGATGCTTAGAAATGGCCACAGAGATGACCTGTACCTCGCTCTCCTCTCTTCGCTTCTCTGGCCCACAGGCAAGTCCACATCTCTTTGCTCTGGAGAGCAGTCCCAGCAAGGCTGGAATCTCTAGGTATTATTTAAAACCTCATGTGGCAGGATTCCGACTGGCCCGCTCAGGCCGGGGACCCACTCAGATTCCAGCAAACTAGCCAACTGGGCAAGGACAC